GCGATATCCATATAGTGAGACATTCCAACCGCCGGAACTTGCTGAATGATAACTTTCACCGTGATTGATAAGCGTCGAATCTGCAATGTCACGATTTGACCTTTATGACGAAATACTAGTAGTGATGTCATTCTTAGCCAATCAGTAAATTAGATGCATAAAGGTCAAAGATGATTGCCAGACTGTAAACAAAAGCATCGTATGCCATCGCAACAGAGCGACCCAATTTTTCTTGTCTCTTTATTGTGGTTAGACATGTATGAAAAGTGCCAAGCTGACAGACTGCGAAATCGGTGGATTAAAAGTGCTAAGTCCAAATTGTGTGGAACGATATCGACGAACTTCAGGAAGAAGTTGTAGGGATTTTGTTTGACGCCTACAGTGACGCCGACTTGGACATTGAGGGTTTTGAGTTTGACGAAGATGGCAATGAACGTACAAATAAAGATCTGAGAAGTTTTTTCAAACAGCTATGAATTTTTATATTTTTACTGTGTGAATTTGTAAATTATTATTGATCTTGTATGACAATTGATTCGTAATTTGTCGAGACCGGAAATCATTTTACGCAGTTTAACCCCTGCCATTTTAATTCATTATGATTTCATGTGTATTGGGCGAGTTTGTCAGCGGGAAAATCCTAATTCAAATGATTCCTAACTGTCGATTTTTATTATTTTTGGTTTATTTGTCACATTATAAGCAATACATTATTTTTGTTTTACTTCTAATGTTGCATATTGTTCATTTATTTCTGTTGCATGTTTCCATTTGCCGTTCTATTCCCTGCCGCAGTTCGATCTGCGTGTTGTAAATTTTCGTGAATTTTTGTTTTTTTGCCGGGGATATTCGGGGGTAAAAATATTTTTCTCTCATGGATAGCGAAACTGTGGCACCAGGAATAAAATGAACTCACAAGATAGTTGTTTATCGTGTTTTCGTCGTTTATTCACATAACCTGCCGTAAATTTGTTTGAATATTCTGTTCCCCACATGGATTAAATCTACAAACAAAGTAAGATATGGTTGTCAGATTTGCCTGGTGTATTGATACAATGTCTGGTTTTGTTATCAAAGTCACGATGCTCTAATATTTTAAATTTATATTTTATTTTACAATGTAGACACAATGGTCTTTACTAACTGAAATAATTAAATTACAACGCTCCATTCTCATTGTAAATATGGATTGATTATTGTATAGTATTAAACAGAAACGTCAAGGGAAAAGTCAAGATGTTTCAATTTACACTATACCTGTTTCAATCCACCACGATTTTTTGTGACCATGAATGTTCCACTAAGTGACTGTGAATCAAATGGTTGTTACAGGGCTGACCCGAGACCACAGCAGCCATCCAATGAGAATTGTGAATTCACAAAATTGTTCAGATAATTTGTATCTATTTAACCGACTTCAAAATTATTCACGATAGTACCTCAGTACCTCAGTTCAAAAGCTGAACTGTAAACAAAACAAGCAGCCTGTCGGCTGAGATAGCTCCGCTGTTAGCAATGCACATGGCAATTAAAGAACAGAAGATATCATTAGAAAATGAACAAATCTGAGAGAGGTCCACATGTAGTGCCTATATGTATAATATATCAAAGCAATTGGACTTGCAGTTTTCAACAAGAAGTCGAAAATATCACTTTTTACCAAAAATTACAAAAATATTCATCAAAATTAGAGAATTAAAGATATTATCATGAAATGAACAAATCTGAGAGAGGTCCACATGTAGT